GCATCATTCTGCTGAGAGAAGAGGACCCACATCGTAGAGCGCATTATGATACAATTCCATACATTACCACCCCGCCCTCTAACCCCTCCTACTGAAATTCCCCAAACCAAGACCATGTCATATGATACAGTCAGGCCAAAGCTGACTCAAACATCCCGCTGCCTGTCCTTTTCAACTTGCTTATTGGTTCTGTGTGTTTTTTCCCTTATAAATACTTATTGATTTTTTTTTTTGGTGGGGGGGTTTGTCAACAAAGAAGAAAACATGACTCACCATTCGTAGTGTGTAGTAAATAATGTGACAGTAAGCTTGTAGAAACATTTTCCTATGTGTTCTGTCTACACTAATGTATTATAGTATATTACTATCATTGTACATTCAGCACACATTCTATATTTTTACACTTCCATTCATTCATTTTCTACCGCTTAGTCCCTGAACGGGGTCACGGGAGGGGCCAGAGCCTGGACAGGTCGCCAATCCATCACAGGGCTAACACATAGACAAACAACCACACGCACGCACTCGCTCCTATGGGCAATTTAGAGACACCAATCAACCTAAGCTGCATGTCTTTGGACTGCGGGAGGAAGCCGGAGTACCCAGAGAGAACCCACGCAAGCACGGGGAGAACATGCAAACTCCACACAGAAAGGTCCCAGGTGGGGCCCGAACCCGGAACCTTCTCACTGTGAGGCAACGGTGCTAACCACTGTGCCACAGCTTTTCCTGTCTTTTAGGGGTCATCACAGCGAATCGTCACACTGACTACTCGCATGTTGGTATTTGGCACAACCTAGATTCGAACCCGGGATGCCCGCGAACAGAGCGCTGCGCCTTAACCACTAGCCTTCCAGGGACAGTTTTTATTTTTTATTTTTCTATTTAGCATTTATATATTATTGATCTTATTTGTATTGTTTCTACCTCATTGTTTTGTTTGTTTCTTTTATGTGAAGTGGCTGCTGTAATCATTTTTTTGTTTGTTTCTTTACTGTGAAGTGGCTGCTGCAATGGTACGCTATCACCAGCCTTTTTGCTAAGCTAAGCTAACCACATCCTGACACATTTATATGAGACTGATACTGGTCGTCCTATCTATTCTCACAAAGTTCATGAGCATGTGGCTTTTGTTCAATTAAACCAAGAAAACCCAAAGAAGTCAATGATACTGTGAGCCACAATGTCCAGCTGTATGTGAGAGTGCACCATGTGTTCGCATGCCATGCGCCTGTACAGTCAGCACCAACCCTGCATTCACACATGAAGGCTGTGATACTGTCAGGTGAACATCATGTAAGCATTGTTCAATACACGATGTTACCTGCCGCTCCTTCTTATACACTTCTTCTGTATGGTGCATGGCTGCACATGCACACTTTAAGCAGTACACTGTAGCCTCCCTCAGATCATCAGGCTTGCTCCAGGAGCAGCCACTGGTAAACACTGAAGTTAGTTCTGACAGCTACTGCAGCATCTGGTCTACACAGGAATGTTGGCACCTCACTGAGATGGTTTGAATTCTGCCACAACTTGCTATTTTGTGGTGTGTGCATGTCTGTGTTTTGTCTGTCCCTGTGAGTATGTGTGTCTGTGAATATGCTATATATGTGTTTGTGTCATCCATGCATTTTCCTCTCACTGCAACAAACCATGGCGAAGCAAATGTGCACTGAGGGGTAGAAATAGCATGTTTGGATTGCTTTAAACTCTGCAACCACATCTGGAAACATTATTCTTGGAACACAGGTCATTATCTTAAGAAGCCAACTGAGAAATGTTTGGTGGAAATAAGCAAAGTGTACAACAGTTGGAGCAGCCAGAACCACAGAAGAAGTCTGCACTGACATGGTTGTTCCATAACAGCCCCCACAGCAGACTGCTCCCAAAAAAGTATTGTTATAATCCTGCCAAAGGTAAACAAGTGAATCTACAAATGACCTAATAGTAAAGGACTTTAATGCAATTCATGGCTCACTGTAGCCTCATAAAGCCAGCCCACAATTCTCACTTCCCTCACTGTGGTCTAGGCTCAGTACACATTTGCTTGTGTCAGACGTCATTTCTAGTAGGCTTTACATTTGAAACGAGATGACTGACGTGCTTTTTCTGAGATGATGATGATGATTAACACTTAACCCACAACAGTAGGACTGGTCAATAACCCTCAGTGCAATACCTGTAAATATACACTGTACATACAAATCCATCAAATGCATCTACATCAGGGGTGGCGAATTCCAATCCTTGAGGGCCGCTGTCCTTCTTGTTTTCCAACTATCCCTGCCTGGCCTGCTGCTGATTACCTGGCTCAGGTGTGTTCAGCCAGTCAGAAGCTGGAAGATGCCAATTCACTTTATCTTTCCTCACTCCACTTTCATCTAAGATGGTATCTTCCAGCTTCTGACAGGCTGAACACACCTGAGCCAGGTAATCAGCAGCAGGCCAGGCAGGGATAGTTGGAAAACAAGAAGGACAGCGGCCCTCGAGGATTGGAATTCGCCACCCCTGATGTAGATGCATTTGATGGATTTGTATGTACAGTGTATATTTACAGGTATTGCACTGAGGGTTATTGACCAGTCCTACTGTTGTGGGTTAAGTGTTAATCATCATCATCATCTCAGAAAAAGAAGGAATTTGATTGTGATTATGATGATGATGGCGATTCCTTCTCATTGGGTTGTGATTAGTCGTTTCTTCTGATTGTTCTGAAAATGCTCTCACCTGTCACCCAAAATCAATTTTTCATAAACTTGAGGTCAACAAAAGGCTATGCAGTTGCTGAGTCATTTATGTATTATATCTGGTCATGACATCCATCCATTATCTATACCACTTATCCTAACAAGGGTTGTGTGTGTGTCTGTGTGTGGGTGGGTGGGTGGGTAGGGGACAATCCCAGCTGACGATGTGCTAGAGGTGGGGTCCACCCTGGACAGGCACCTCTGGTCATGACATTTTAAATTAACACTGTGGCAGTGACAGTGCCACACATTTGTTTCTGAAAGACTGAATTGTCTAGCTGTGGCACATGGAAACAAATACAAATCCTTATCCAATCATTTAACTATATGTTTTTGCAGGAGCTGTCATCTGCCTTGGTTGCCTTCAGGAGAAAACTCATTTGCCCATGTAATCACAACCAGTGACTGATCAGCTCTTTTATACTGCAATCCCACCATGTAGCTTTCGATTTATTAATCTTCAAAGGACAAAATGCCTCTAAGTACAGAGTTTCTTACTCAGACTAGTAAAAACACACACTGTCACGCCACTCCGTTATCTCACAGCCTCAGAAAAAGGATAGTGCTACAGCAAATGAAATTCACTGTGTTGAATTTAATTTATTTTAGGGATGTTAGCTCTTTATTTTCAGTAACATTCCTCCCTTTACTAAACATTTTTCATGCATAAAAGTCTAAGTCAGTCAGAGTTTCTGTTGCTTCAATTTGTGATTTGGCTCATGCTAATGCTGCGAAGTTACAGTGTAATATATTTCCTCTTCTTTAAATAAAAGAACAAATTACAAAAAAACAGCAAAAGTTCTAGTCCATGAATTGTTTTATATAAGTTAGATATAAATGACATGTTACCATAGTACTTTTTAAATTATTTTTTCTGCAATCATAATGAGCTGAAATGTAATTATAACTATTTGTTTTTGTAGTTACATTTCTAGATATCTAAATTTAGTCTGTAGGAGAAAGTCACCTTGTGTGAAATCATCAAGTCATTTTTTTCAGTGAAACAGCACATGTTAACTTGAGTTCAGAATTCTAATCTTATTGAAGTCTTAAATCTTAGACAGACTTGAGTTGGATTGCTCAGACACATCCACCCGACACTGAGGATCCAGAACAGCAAATATAACAAATGTCAGTTGGATAGTTTCAATCCGTGTAATGTTGTGTTAACAGATGACAAAAAGTCATACAATTAATTTCTGACTTGCAACTGCAAGCAGAGAGGCACTGTGGCCCTGAGTATTGTCTAACATAAAGGCCCTTTGAGCGAGCAGTGTATCTGTGTGTGTTAGTGTGTGTCAGTGAGGGAAGACAGCTCCGTGTCAGTCATCACAGGGTGGGAGATGGAACATTTGGTAGAAGAAACAGGGCGATGTGCTGTTATGTTCCCAGAGCTGAGCTTCTTGGACTTTATGTTTTGATGGAAGTATGGAGTTACACTGACTTACTGTGATTCCAGCCAGGAAACAGAGCACAAGTCACAGGAGATCAAAAGACTTTTTTATATAATATTATTTATGTTCATGCACCTGAGAATTTAACTCCAGCAGACAAAGGCCTGGAGACAACAGCATCTTGCCGTTTTCTCTGAGGCTGTTCTTCACTATCCAGCCAGAGTCGATGACTGTCCCAGTGGCCCTGAGTGTCTGTGCAAGGGGCAGTTGCCCACTGTGATCCCAGGATGTATGTATGGCAATTTGTCAGTATGTGTGTGGTAGTTTAATTAACTGCAAAAATAAAATACATTTAAAACTGAAATAATAAAGGTGCTAAGGTGGCCCTTGCATTTTCAACTAATATCACCCTGTGTTAATAATATTTCGTTTCAATACCTCTAATTACCACACAGTAATTACTCTACAATAAACCATAGAGCAGTCCTTGCGCTGGACTCACTTGTCTCCCTTTAAATTAAACAAGTGTGTTCTGTGGGTTTTCATTTGTTCATGGAAGCTATTTGTGCATATGATTTGAATAAACAGAAATGTGAGAACTACTGTGAAAGTGATTTGTACATGTGCAGATATTTTGTGTCCCCACTGTGCAGGGGCTTGCACGCCAACATTTTTCTGGCTTTTAAAAGTTAAAGGAGCAGTGAGCACATGAAGCAGAGAGAAGCAGTCAGTGCAGCTTGTATGTGTTGAATCATGGGGCTTGCTGCAGCAGACCACCAGGGCTGATGTCAGCCCTACGGTATGCGCTTTCTGGGCTCGGCTGTAAGCTGACCCCCCTCTGTTGTGCTTCTATTTACAGGGCGTGAGCGGAATGTCCATGGATGAGAAGCCTGAAGCCCCCATGTATGTGTATGAGTCGACTGTTCATTGTACCAATATCCTCCTCTGCCTCAACGACCAGCGGAAGCAGGATATCCTGTGTGATGTGACTGTCCTGGTGGAGGGCAAGGAGTTCCGTGGGCACCGGGCCGTGCTGGCCGCCTGCAGCGAGTATTTCCTCCAGGCACTGGTGGGCCAGGTGGAGAATGGCTTGGTTGTTAGCCTTCCTGAAGAGGTATGTTCGTCAAACACTCCATTTCCCTGACAGTTTTTGTCTTACAAGGGTGGAAATGCTGTTGACTTTTAGACAATGCAATACTTGAAACTCCTCCTGACACCAAAACAAAAGCAATACTATCCAGGCTGTCTGCATCCAAAGCCACACAGTAGCTATAGTGTACTGTGTCCACTATGTTTTTACCATGTAGAAACACATAGTCCAATGTGTGAAATGGTATGACTGATTAGATGTTTTGATAGCACAATCAAGTTCCAAGTGCAAAGAAGCTGTTGTGAACAAAAAATTGTGACATGGACTTATTCAGCCAATATAGCATTAAAGCAAGAGGCACATAACATTTACATTTATTGGCTGAAGTATTTGTCCAAAATGACATTAACAGCTGTTTCATGACTCAGCGTGCACTCACCGGCACTGACACTACCTGTATTGACTTTGTATGCACTCCATGGGCAGAGATGCCATCTTGGAGCCGTGAATTACTCCCTTCTGCACTAAATATCTAGCACACCCACCCAGCAGAAGATGTGATGCTATTGCTGTGATCTTATCCACTGGAATGTTTTTTTATATTTATTTTGATGGAGAAACTTTCTGTTAGGGAGGGTTCATTCTTCAGACAAAAAACAAGATGCCCTTTACTTGTTGCCATTAACTTCTGATCCAGTTCAACAAACAAAGCAGAAGACAAAAACAAAGTTATACAGACTTGTTGTTGACTCACTGGACAGTTTCATGAGCATTACTGTACATACTCCCACAGAGGAAATCAAATTCCTAACTGACAGCAGGTTATGACAAATGCTCAGTTAGTCGCACAGTACCACACAGACATAAACAACAGAAGCATAGTTAACAAGAGTATTTACAAAAGGATTTGTGGCTTGTTCTTATTCACAGATGCTCCACTTTAATATAACTTTATGGGAATATTTATCTTCTCCGGTGTCAGAAAGCGCTCACAATAAATGATTTTGTACATTAATATTAATTATTCTGAGAATACAAATAAATATAAATTCAGAAGTAATCATTTGATTTTGAGTCAGTTTAGGCCTCCTCTCAAGGCCTGAAGGGCCCTGTGGGCCACTGGCATCACACACTTCCCCACACTTCATTTCTTGTAGCATCTCTTTACTCTTGACTTTCTGACTATTTTTAGAGTTATCTTTGTTTTCTTTTCTTTATCTGTCAGATGATGTCACTAAAACAGTGTTTTAATTTGATCTGGCATTCGCTGAGGGATAAAGACTCAATGAAAGGTGTGAGAAAGCGCAGTATTAAGCCTATTGGGCTGTGATTGCCAATTAGCACTTGTCAGCTGTTGCCACCATCGTTGTCGACAGCAGGCATCACTTTGCAGCGAAATTAACACCACCTCAGGCTCTGCGCCTGTAAGGTTCAGCAACACTCCGCATTCACCTCAGCTCTCACAATGACACTTTAAATTGATCCCTTTCAGAGCTCCTCCACTGAACACAAACGAAAGTACCCCTCTGACATATCGATGTTACACACCAGCACTTACACACATATGCATACATACCTGTGGTGCTGTGAAAATGGGGGCAAATTTCACATGCTGTGACTTTGTGGCTCTTTGCTGGGGCCAGTGGGCATTAGTAAAGTAATGTGTGTCAAAAGATGTTTGCCTCTGCAGTCACAGAGAAAGAAGCCACTGTTAGATTGTCATCTTATGTAAAATGAGCATCACAAGTTTTTTTGTTTCTTTCTTTGTTAAGTCAAAGAATGACTGCAGGCGAAGGCTCATGGATGCTCAGAGCAGCCTCCCTTTCATTCATTTGCTGCACACATTAATAATGGATGAGATACTGGGTGTTTCAGGTGTGAGATGGAGTGTGGAATGTAACATCTTTTAATGACTGCCTATTTAACATGGCAGAGTGCAACTAACTACTACTGAGGTTTGTCATCTCTCTTCAACTTGGCAGTACTTCACATCTTTGTATTGCTTCATTTAAATGGAAAAAGAACACATGATGATTCTATTGACTTTATTCTGTCACAGTGGACACTTGAAATAACTCGTACTCAACAACACCCTGCCTTTGTTGTGATATACTGTGTAGAAATGTTAGAAGAGATCAACAAATGTGTGAACACTGATTTGTTCTGCAATTGTCCAGAGGTGAAGGTGACATACTGTATTTAAGTCACTTGTCTTGTCAGCAAAAATGCAAAGATAATCAGTAGACAATGACATAAAAGAGAACAGAAACCAGATATTTACCAAAGCATCTGCTTGAAAAGTGACTTCAGGCTATATGTAGATATTTTGTGTGGTTACCTCACAGCAAGAAGGTTCCAGGTTCACACCTCACGGCCGACCGTGAGGGACCTTTTTCTGTGAAGTCTGGATGTTCTCCCCATGTATGTGAAAGATTTCTCCAGGTACTCTGGCTTCCTCCCACAGTCAAGGTTAGGTTGACTGATAACTTGATTTTGTTACCAGTCACATGTGCATGTGTCCCTTTCCACCCCCCACACCGCCACCACCTCTCTCTACAGTAACCATTACAAATAATTGCGTTTTTTTTTTCTTTTCAGATTTTTCTCTGAAATGTAGTGGAGTAGAAGCATAAAGTGGCATAAGCTGTACTCTAGTACAACAGTAACAACAAATTAGTGAGTTACAGTGCCTTGCGAAAGTATTCGGCCCCCTTGAACTTTGCGACCTTTTGCCACATTTCAGGCTTCAAACATAAAGATATAAAACTGTAATTTTTTGTGAAGAATCAACAACAAGTGGGACACAATCATGAAGTGGAACGAAATTTATTGGATATGTCAAACTTTTTTAACAAATAAAAAACTGAAAAATTGGGCGTGCAAAATTATTCAGCCCCCTTAAGTTAATACTTTGTAGCGCCACCTTTTGCTGCGATTACAGCTGTAAGTCGCTTGGGGTATGTCTCTATCAGTTTTGCACATCGAGAGACGGAAATTTTTGCCCATTCCTCCTTGCAAAACAGCTCGAGCTCAGTGAGATTGGATGGAGAGCGTTTGTGAACAGCAGTTGTCAGTTCTTTCCACAGATTCTCGATTGGATTCAGGTCTGGACTTTGACATAGCCATTCTAACACCTGGATATGTTTAGTTGTGAACCATTCCATTGTAGATTTGGCTTTATGTTTTGGATCATTGTCTTGTTGGAAGACAAATCTCCGTCCCAGTCTCAGGTCTTTTGCAGACTCCATCAGGTTTCCTTCCAGAATGGTCCTGTATTTGGCTCCATCCATCTTCCCATCAATTTTAACCACCTTCCCTGTCCCTGCTGAAGAAAAGCAGGCCCAAACCATGATGCTGCCACCACCATGTTTGACAGTGGGGATGGTGTGTTCAGGGTGATGAGCTGTGTTGCTTTTACGCCAAACATAACGTTTTGCATTGTTGCCAAAAAGTTCGATTTTGGTTTCATCTGACCAGAGCACCTTCTTCCACATGTTTGGTGTGTCTCCCAGGTGGCTTGTGGCAAACTTTAAACGACACTTTTTATGGATATCTTTAAGAAATGGCTTTCTTCTTGCCACTCTTCCATAAAGGCCAGATTTGTGCAGTATACGACTGATTGTTGTCCTATGGACAGAGTCTCCCACCTCAGCTGTAGATCTCTGCAGTTCATCCAGAGTGATCATGGGCCTCTTGGCTGCATCTCTGATCAGTCTTCTCCTTGTATGAGCTGAAAGTTTAGAGGGACGGCCAGGTCTTGGTAGATTTGCAGTGGTCTGATACTCCTTCCATTTCAATATTATCGCTTGCACAGTGCTCCTTGGGATGTTTAAAGCTTGGGAAATCTTTTTGTATCCAAATCCGGCTTTAAACTTCTCCACAACAGTATCTCGGACCTGCCTGGTGTGTTCCTTGTTCTTCATGATGCTCTCTGCGCTTTAAACAGACCTCTGAGACTATCACAGTGCAGGTGCATTTATACGGAGACTTGATTACACACAGGTGGATTCTATTTATCATCATTAGTCATTTAGGTCAACATTGGATCATTCAGAGATCCTCACTGAACTTCTGGAGAGAGTTTGCTGCACTGAAAGTAAAGGGGCTGAATAATTTTGCACGCCCAATTATTCAGTTTTTTATTTGTTAAAAAAGTTTGAAATATCCAATAAATTTCATTCCACTTCATGATTGTGTCCCACTTGTTGTTGATTCTTCACAAAAAATTACAGTTTTATATCTTTATGTTTGAAGCCTGAAATGTGGCAAAAGGTCGCAAAGTTCAAGGGGGCCGAATACTTTCGCAAGGCACTGTATTTTACAGTTGAGTCCCATGTCACCCTTGTTTTATAGTCAGACTGAAGCATGCTGACACATCCCTAACTCATGTCTGAATGTTGTCTTCACTCTGATGCTGGGGTGAGGGATGGATCTACTAAGCCCCACAGTCTTAGTCAGTCAATAATACACAATTAAATGTGCCAAAGAATGGGAGAGTTTTCATATGGAAGCTCATTATATGAGTTAAATTATGTTTACCCATTACTTGGCCCCAAACGGGAGTGTCAGGCCATGTCGTCATAATTCCTAAGAGCCCCACAATTAGCAACAGGATTTTCCGGACCTAACCTACACTTAACGCAAAACATGCCTGAACCCTATCCTCACCCAAGCAAAGAGCAGATATGTGGCTTGACACACAGCATGTGCATTGTATTTGCTCAGGTTATGTGGTGGCTGGCCCAGCTGGCTTGTAATGCAGTCACCTCTGAGAGCTGGCTCAGCTCAGTTCAGTTCAAAGCAGCAACCTTTAGCTCTGCTAGGTTAGCAGCACTTCACTGACACTAGTGTGTCTGGCCATGGAGAATATTCTTTCACCAGCTACTGTCGGCTGCCAAAGGGAGAGTTAGAAAGACCTCCGCTGCCTCAGGGGGATAGAGGGGGAGGCTGGTGCAAATGAAACGTGAAACAAAGAGCCCTTCCCCCAGTACCTGTATCACTTCTGTCTCATGGCCTCACTGCCC